TATATGTCTACAGGAAAGACTGCTACCAAAATACTAATATATATATATATATATATATATATATATATATATATATATATATATATATATATATATATATATATATATATATATATATATATTGGTGTATACTGGCAGCAGGTTTTCTTTCAAACATGTTTCATTGAATATGACCGCATATTCTGTATTTATTATTTTCTGGTTTAGGGCTTCTATCCCTCTAACTATTTTCTTAGCATCAGGGCTTAATTGGAATAGGAGTTCTCCAAAACTCATTTTCGTACTTTTAAGGTGAAGAAAAGAAGTGATTTATTATAGAGTGTATTACACTTATTTGTATAATTTGCACGACGTTTCGAACCTCCATGGTTCATTCTCAAGTGAACAGATCTTACAATACTAGTTGATTTTATACCCGCATTAGGTCAGGTGATAATACAATGAAGGTGAAAAACATGGGGGGATACATAAGGGATAAACATAGGGGCTGCAGAAGGCTTATTGGCCCATACGAGGCATCTCCTATCTAAACACAAAGATTAATCCAGTGTAATTGGCCTGTTATGTTGGACATTGTCTTCTGTGTTGACATCGATATGTTCTTGTCTTGTCCTTACTCTCATGGTGGGTAGAGTAAATAGTTCCGTGATTTGGGTGTTCATGGTAGGTCGCTCTATTCTTATGTGAATTGCCTCAAGAATTTGTAATCTTCTTGAATCTTGGGTTTTGTCTATTATGCAAGTATTCTTGTTCAACATTTCTCTTGTTAGAGTAATGTCATGGGCTTGTCTCATGTGATTCCTAGGGGCACCAGATTGAAGATGGCATGTCAAACGCCTCGTCAGCTTGGTCGACGTCATACCTATGTACTTACATTGAAGGTTACATCCTTCGTGGGGGCAAGTGTACATGTATACAACGCTTGACTGCTGTAGAGGGTTCTCCGTCGGCTTCGGGCTGTTTTTGATAAGGAGTTCGGAAGTCTTCTTGGTTTTGTAGAATATTATCAGGTTTATGTTTTGGTTAGGAGTAGTGCTTTTTACTCCTTTACGGATTATTTCTTTCATTATTCTTTCCTCTTTTATATGTTCACTGTGCATGGTTGATTTGTAATATAATTTTATTGGGGGTGTTGTGGTTTCTGTTCTAGGTTCTGAATTATACCAACGGTCCAAGTGTCTTCTTATAGCAGCGTTTATTTCCGCGTTGCTATATCCGTTGTTCACCAATACCTGAGTTACTCTTTCAAACTCTCTACTCACGTTGCTCCATTCAGAGCAGTGATTAAGCGCTCGACGAATATAAGCATTGAGAACACTGGCTTTGTATCTTTGGGGGCACTCACTTCTACCGTTCAGGCATAATCCTATGTTGGTGGGCTTGGTATATACGTTGGTGCTTAAAGAGGTTCCTGTTTTTGTTATTAGTACATCCAAGAATGGCAGACTGTTATTTTCACTATTTTCATGTGTAAATCGGAGTACTGACTCTCTCTCTAGGTGTCTTTTTAGGTCAATTAGTTCATCTGAGTCTTTTACTATTACGAATATGTCATCTACATAACGGCAGTATACAGTTGGTTTTTGTCTGCTACTGAAGACCCTATCTTCGACCCTGTCTTCTTATAGCAGCGTTTATTTCCGCGTTGCTATATCCGTTGTTCACCAATACCTGAGTTGCTCTTTCAAACTCTCTACTCACGTTGCTCCATTCAGAGCAGTGATTAAGCGCTCGACGAATATAAGCATTGAGAACACTGGCTTTGTATCTTTGGGGGCACTCACTTCTACCGTTCAGGCATAATCCTATGTTGGTGGGCTTGGTATATACGTTGGTGCTTAAAGAGGTTCCTGTTTTTGTTATTAGTACATCCAAGAATGGCAGACTGTTATTTTCACTATTTTCATGTGTAAATCGGAGTACTGACTCTCTCTCTAGGTGTCTTTTTAGGTCAATTAGTTCATCTGAGTCTTTTACTATTACGAATATGTCATCTACATAACGGCAGTATACAGTTGGTTTTTGTCTGCTACTGAAGACCCTATCTTCGATGGTTCCCATATAAAAATTAGCAAATAAAACTCCTAAGGGGGAGCCCATTGCTACTCCGTCTATTTGTAAATACATGTCTCCTTGTGGACTGATGAAAGGGGCTTCCTTTGTACATGCTTCGAGAAGACTTTTCAAGTGTGGCTCAGGTATGTCTAATTTGGGGGTGCTCTCGTCTCTGTATACTCTGTCCAGTATCATTCCTATGGATGTGTCGACTGGGACGTTGGTAAAAAGGGATTCAACGTCCAGGGAAGCGATGATTCCATCGGGCTGGGTAGATTTGATCAATTCTAGGAAATCTGCTGATGATTGTAGACTAAACTTACTTGGAGTGTATGGAGTTAGGAGTTCATTGAGTTTCTTTGCCAGGTGATAAGTTGGGGTTGGTATTTGGCTGATTATAGGGCGTAGTGGGTTACCTGGTTTATGCGTCTTAACATTGCCGTAGGCATATCCTAAGCCATAGTCGCCTTGAAGTTTATTGAAATGCACACTACCTTTCTTTGCGTTGATTGCTGTAATTGTTTTGTTTACTTTTCGCTTAAGGTCTTCTACGGGGTTCCTCGTGATTCGTTGAAATTTGGAGTCGTCACTTAGGATGTCGCTAATTTTGTTCATGTATTCATGGGTAGGAATCAATACATATGCTGCTGTTTTGTCGGCTTTTCTTATTGTTACGTCTTTCAGATTTTTTAGTTGTTTCGCTGCTTCTTTGAGTCGTGGGGTTAAGATTGTAGATGAATATGTTCCTCGTTTTTTCCCTGCTTCTGCAAGTAGTTCAGCTTGAAGTGTGTCAGTGGTGATGACTTTTTTGTTGTCTTCTAGCTTATGGATATCGTCCAGAAGCATTTCGATTTCCAGGCGTTTTTGATGCATCTTTGGTTTAGATAAGAATTGACAATTTAGACCAAGATTTAAGAGGTCTCGTTGGTCCTGGGTAAGATCATAAGAAGTCAGGTTAAAGTAGCCATCTTTAGGACGAGGGATTTTTAGCAGTATTTTTTTAAAATAACAGTCTGCCATTCTTGGATGTACTAATAACAAAAACAGGAACCTCTTTAAGCACCAACGTATATACCAAGCCCACCAACATAGGATTATGCCTGAACGGTAGAAGTGAGTGCCCCCAAAGATACAAAGCCAGTGTTCTCAATGCTTATATTCGTCGAGCGCTTACCCACTGCTCTGAATGGAGCAACGTGAGTAGAGAGTTTGAAAGAGTAACTCGGGTATTGGTGAACAACGGATATAGCAACGCGGAAATAAACGCTGCTATAAGAAGACACTTGGACCGTTGGTATAATTCAGAACCTAGAACAGAAACCACAACACCCCCAATAAAATTATATTACAAATCAACCATGCACAGTGAACATATAAAAGAGGAAAGAATAATGAAAGAAATAATCCGTAAAGGAGTAAAAAGCACTACTCCTAACCAAAACATAAACCTGATAATATCTACAAAACCAAGAAGACTTCCGAACTCCTTATCAAAAACAGCCCGAAGCCGACGGAGAACCCTCTACAGCAGTCAAGCGTTGTATACATGTACACTTGCCCCCACGAAGGATGTAACCTTCAATGTAAGTACATAGGTATGACGTCGACCAAGCTGACGAGGCGTTTGACATGCCATCTTCAATCTGGTGCCCCTAGGAATCACATGAGACAAGCCCATGACATTACTCTAACAAGAGAAATGTTGAACAAGAATACTTGCATAATAGACAAAACCCAAGATTCAAGAAGATTACAAATTCTTGAGGCAATTCACATAAGAATAGAGCGACCTACCATGAACACCCAAATCACGGAACTATTTACTCTACCCACCATGAGAGTAAGGACAAGACAAGAACATATCGATGCCAACACAGAAGACAATGTCCAACATAACAGGCCAATTACACTGGATTAATCTTTGTGTTTAGATAGGAGATGCCTCGTATGGGCCAATAAGCCTTCTGCAGCCCCTATGTTTATCCCTTATGTATCCCCCCGTGTTTTCACCTTCATTGTATTATCACCTGACCTAATGCGGGTATAAAATCAACTAGTATTGTAAGATCTGTTCACTTGAGAATGAACCATGGAGGTTCGAAACGTCGTGCAAATTATACAAATAAGTGTAATACACTCTATAATAAATCACTTCTTTTCTTCACCTTAAAAGTACGAAAATGAGTTTTGGAGAACTCCTATTCCAATTAAGCCCTGATGCTAAGAAAATAGTTAAGAGGGATAGAAGCCCTAAACCAGAAAATAATAAATACAGAATATGCGGTCATATTCAATGAAACATATATATATATATATATATATATATATATATATATATATATATATATATATATATATATATATATATATATATATATATATATATAAAATACTTAGAGGGGGACTTAATAAGGTGAAAAAATAGGAAATTAAAAAAATTAATACCAATGGAATAAGAGGACGGGAATTTTAGACAGATGAACTATACCAATAGAAATGAAAATTTTGTTTAGCGACAGACTAGTAGGAAATATAATAAAGTATACGAGTATGTTGTAAAAGCCAACTCCTATAATTGCAATAGTAAATATAATATAGGAATACGTCGGGGAGACATTGCGCTGTACAACCGGCAAATGAAAGGCGAGGTCAGAGAGCTAAAGCTCGATCATGCACACTCAAATAGGTGAGTACACAGACGAGAAATACAGAAGACGGAAATAATACCAAATTAAAGGTATTATATATCTAGGTAAAGGTATCTATTATATATTTATATCTTATGTATCTAGATATAAAGGTATTATATATCTACCTGGAACATTATATATTTACAATATGACAAGTCATTATATTTAACTAGGGTTTGGTTGGTCATTTAAATATCACGTGACTATGAAATTGACTAAATTTTGTTGAATTATTGATATATATTTTTCACTTAGGTGCCATGGCGGCTCCGAGGCGGGGCCCACCCGGCCGCACAGGTGGGAAGCACTTGTCTCTGCACGAGGTCACGTACTCGTGTCCCTGCACGTGGTCACGTACTCGTGTCCCAGCACGTGGTCACAATCATTGTCTTGTCTACGTGAATCTACGTGCCTTACCCCTGCTCGCCCTTATGCACCTGCTAATTGTCATGCACCGCGTTTCGTAAAATGCACTTCCCTTTCGTTGGTTTTAAATTGTCAATACCCCCAGAGTTGTGTTGAGGCGCATGGTGTGTAAAATGCCCGCGATTATACCCCCCACCCTGGCCCTCGCCCGCGATACTTTTTCCTCCCACATGTGAGTTGTTCCGCCTCTGTGGCATCTTAGGTAGTGTGTTGTGCACGTAAGTATGAGCAGATGGGTGTCTGCACTGAAGATACCCCGAAGAAACTATTTCACACGCTGCAGAGCCTGGACGGTGTCGTTCATGGGGTTCTTGATTCACTTCGGCCAGAGGCTGGTACTTTGCAGCGCCCGCGAGGTACTTTGCAGCGCCCACAAGGTACTTTGCAGCGCCCGCGAGGTACTTCGCAGCCCCTGCGAGGTACTTCGCAGTGCCAGCGAGGTACTTTGCAGGGCCCTCGAAGTACTTCGCAGCGCCCGCGACCCTGCGGCTGGACAAGTTGATCGGCGGGAGATCGCCAGGCTTGTTCCCAGGCATGTTGTATGTTGGCGTTGATGGGACAGACTGTGTGACGGAAGTGACAGTGAACCTGTGTGACGGAAGTGACAGTGAACCTGTGTGACGGAAGTGACAGTGAACCTGTGTGACGGAAGTGACAGTGAACCTGTGTGACGGAAGTGACAGTGAACCTGTGTGACGGAAGTGACAGTGAACCTGTGTGACGGAAGTGACAGTGAACCTGTGTGACGGAAGTGACAGTGAGCCTGTGTGACGGGAGTGACAGTGAGCCTGTGTGACGGGAGTGACAGTGAGCCTGTGTGACGGAAGTGACAGTGAGCCTGTGTGACGGGAGTGACAGTGAGCCTGTGTGACGGGAGTGACAGTGAGCCTGTGTGACGGGAGTGACAGTGAGCCTGTGTGACGGGAGTGACAGTGAGCCTGTGTGACGGGAGTGACAGTGAGCCTGTGTGACGGGAGTGACAGTGAGCCTGTGTGACGGGAGTGACAGTGAGCCTGTGTGACGGGAGTGACAGTGAGCCTGTGTGACGGGAGTGACAGTGAGCCTGTGTGACGGGAGTGACAGTGAGCCTGTGTGACGGGAGTGACAGTGAGCCTGTGTGACGGGAGTGACAGTGAGCCTGTGTGACGGGAGTGACAGTGAGCCTGTGTGACGGGAGTGACAGTGAGCCTGTGTGACGGGAGTGACAGTGAGCCTGTGTGACGGGAGTGACAGTGAGCCTGTGTGACGGGAGTGACAGTGAGCCTGTGTGACGGGAGTGACAGTGAGCCTGTGTGACGGGAGTGACAGTGAGCCTGTGTGACGGGAGTGACAGTGAGCCTGTGTGACGGGAGTGACAGTGAGCCTGTGTGACGGGAGTGACAGTGAGCCTGTGTGACGGGAGTGACAGTGAGCCTGTGTGACGGGAGTGACAGTGAGCCTGTGTGACGGGAGTGACAGTGAGCCTGTGTGACGGGAGTGACAGTGAGCCTGTGTGACGGGAGTGACAGTGAGCCTGTGTGACGGGAGTGACAGTGAGCCTGTGTGACGGGAGTGACAGTGAGCCTGTGTGACGGGAGTGACAGTGAGCCTGTGTGACGGGAGTGACAGTGAGCCTGTGTGACGGGAGTGACAGTGAGCCTGTGTGACGGGAGTGACAGTGAGCCTGTGTGACGGGAGTGACAGTGAGCCTGTGTGACGGGAGTGACAGTGAGCCTGTGTGACGGGAGTGACAGTGAGCCTGTGTGACGGGAGTGACAGTGAGCCTGTGTGACGGGAGTGACAGTGAGCCTGTGTGACGGGAGTGACAGTGAGCCTGTGTGACGGGAGTGACAGTGAGCCTGTGTGACGGGAGTGACAGTGAGCCTGTGTGACGGGAGTGACAGTGAGCCTGTGTGACGGGAGTGACAGTGAGCCTGTGTGACGGGAGTGACAGTGAGCCTGTGTGACGGGAGTGACAGTGAGCCTGTGTGACGGGAGTGACAGTGAGCCTGTGTGACGGAAGTGACAGTGAGCCTGTGTGACGGAAGTGACAGTGAGCCTGTGTGACGGAAGTGACAGTGAGCCTGTGTGACGGAAGTGACAGTGAGCCTGTGTGACGGAAGTGACAGTGAGCCTGTGTGACGGAAGTGACAGTGAGCCTGTGTGACGGAAGTGACAGTGAGCCTGTGTGACGGAAGTGACAGTGAGCCTGTGTGACGGAAGTGACAGTGAGCCTGTGTGACGGAAGTGACAGTGAGCCTGTGTGACGGAAGTGACAGTGAGCCTGTGTGACGGAAGTGACAGTGAGCCTGTGTGACGGAAGTGACAGTGAGCCTGTGTGACGGAAGTGACAGTGAGCCTGTGTGACGGAAGTGACAGTGAGCCTGTGTGACGGAAGTGACAGTGAGCCTGTGTGACGGAAGTGACAGTGAGCCTGTGTGACGGAAGTGACAGTGAGCCTGTGTGACGGAAGTGACAGTGAGCCTGTGTGACGGAAGTGACAGTGAGCCTGTGTGACGGAAGTGACAGTGAGCCTGTGTGACGGAAGTGACAGTGAGCCTGTGTGACGGAAGTGACAGTGAGCCTGTGTGACGGAAGTGACAGTGAGCCTGTGTGACGGAAGTGACAGTGAGCCTGTGTGACGGAAGTGACAGTGAGCCTGTGTGACGGAAGTGACAGTGAGCCTGTGTGACGGAAGTGACAGTGAGCCTGTGTGACGGAAGTGACAGTGAGCCTGTGTGACGGAAGTGACCGTAAGCTCTTGGGGTGTTTGAAAGTTTATTATTAAGTATGGTATTTTCTCTGATGTTTGGTTACTAAATCACCATCGGTGAGGTATTGTTAAATATCTTCAAATTCCCGCCCTTTTGCCATTATTATTTTTGTTTTCCGGGGTGGGGGGAGGGAGGGGGGGAGGGGGGAAGAGTTGATCTTTCAAGCAAGAGAGTTGTTTATTGGTGGGGCCAGATTCACGAAGCAGTTACGCAAGCATTTACCAACCTGTACATCTTTCCTCAATCTTTGTCGGCTTTGGTTATATTTATTAAACAGTTTACAAGCATGGGAACTTCCCAATCAACTGTTGTCATTGCTATAAACAGCCTCCTGGTGCTTCGGAGCTCATTAACTGTTTTCATTTGTAAACAATGCCACCAAAAGATTGTGAAAAGATGTACAGGTTCGTAAGTGCTTGCGTAACTGCTTCGTGAATGTGGCCCCTGGACTTTACAAGTTCACTCGATCAGCGTTCGTCTCAGTCGTGATCATTTTCCCATAGTGCCATGTCGACAATTTCAGTTTTCAGACTCCGTTCCGGACTTCAGGGATTCCTCAGGAACTCATTTTTTTTCATTTCATAAATTATATTACTTCCCCCAAACGGTGCCAAAGCGAGTGTTAATTCATTAAAGCAATATATATTAAATTAACGAGTTTCCGAAGTGGTAAGAAAGAAGGGAAAGCTAAGTGCTAGGTATCAACAAGTTTCTATGGCAAATAAAGAAAGTAATTATTTACAGAGAACCACGACTAGGAGTAATATGACAAACGTAAGCGTGGACTCACGAGTACAAAGACAACTAAAGAACTGGTGGAAGGAAATGATTGGTTACATATAAAGAGGACAGTAAAATGTCAATATTTCGATGCCTCTTCCAGCCAGATACTGACTTATTTTTTTAACAAGACGACATTTGATCTATTCAGCAGACAACCAACTGACAGGATGAATCTTACATGCAACATAAGAATAATCTTTTTCTGAAATGTAAATTAATATTATGTGGATTTATGTATACTTAAGTCGAGATAAGGTTAAGTAAGGTGTTTTGGCTACGTTGATGTAGTGTGTTTCCAGGATGAAAGCGAACGAAGCACCATTCCAGTCGTGGCCTCGAACCTGTTGACTGTAGGTGGACATACTGACGTGTGTGTAGATTTTATTAACAAGAAAGCACTAAGAATATTTCCAAGCAGGAAGGTGGGCACCCAATCAGACAAGCAGGCAGGCTTGCAGACGAAGCGGAGCAGAATAATTAAGTCAGTATTTGACTGACACGTTGTGAGCCTGACAGTCTTTTGTTTTGATGTTGGTCTGCAATAATTACACGTAGGCGCATGAGTGGTGTTCACACCTGCTTACCGTAAAATACCCAACTAGTATAGAAAATACTTGCGATGAGAAATACGTCTTTTGCCAGTCAGAAACGTAACTAGTCTTCGAGATTCATACAATATGCTTCCAAGCAAACACTTACAAAATTCAATATGAAATGAAAATGTAAAAAAAATCAGCTTAAAATCAAAACACAAAATTAGAACATTAGTAGAAGCTCCTACTGATTCTCATTGATACCCCACGCTAATGTGATTTCTTTTTGTACAGAAATTAGATTATTCAATCAAACTTTTACGATTAATTTGTTTGAGCAATCAGTGTGCTCAAAGTTGTATTATAATTTTAATAGGTTTATGAAATAGGTAATAGATACGTACAGTGGCAACTGAACTTGGAGATTGACTAGTGATACTGTAAGTAAATATTGAGAATTATTGTTATTGAGTATTGTGATTTGACTGCAGTAGGCTATACGTCTCGAGCTTCCATTGTATCGCGGGGACGGTAGAAGTATTTGGATATATTTGCTTTTGTCTGGATCAGTTACAACTACAAGTCTTAAATTATTACAGCGCAACGCTTTGGATAAATCCTCATACGAGAGGCTGAAGACCTTGTTTGTGAGCTCGTTAATTATTTCGTTAATTGAATGAGGTTCTGGCGGTTGAAGTGCACCGCTACGATTAGTCTCACACCAAGGAGGATTACGAGTGATTTGTGGAGCGAACTATTAATAAATTAGTTAAGATGCCGAGGCCTCCGCGGGTAAGAATGT